CTTCTAGTCCCCTCTGAAGCCCCTTTCCAGAGTAACAGCCCCTTCTCCACCAACTCACATCTTAGCTTTTATCCTCCCAGACCTGTCCTCACTGCAACCTTTTATTTATTATTATTATTCAACGTTGTTGCTTTTCCTACCATCCTAGTGGTGATTAAACAACTGACAGAAATTGCCAGTCCTCTATAACTGTCGAGCTAGAGTCAGTTCATCCAGTAGAGTCTCAATACAGCTACTTTTTATTGACTACTTTCACCAGGTCTAAAAAGTCATTGCCCAATTAGCTGTGGGACAGAATCAGTGTTAATTTTTGGTTTTTTAAAAATTGTATTACTTAATTTATTGTTGTTATGTATAAATCAACAAGATGTCTGGGACTGATCTGATTAGCATGTAAATTATGAAGAGAGTAGAAAATGACAAGAAATTCTCAAGGAATGTGTGCCCTAACTGGGGACACGCTTCTCACCACTGCCAAGGTGCCAGTAAAATTTGAGCCCACCCTCTCTCAACACAATACCTGGTTTTCTCCTTTGGTTTGTATTTGTTTTCATATACTGCACAGATGGCAGATTGAGACCCTGCTATTCAGGGCTAGCCGGCTTTATAGTCATGAACAAAAGTCCTCTTTGTCTAGTTAAAATGTCTAAATTTCTTAGAACTACGAGCAAACTGGAAGAGAAGGTGAAAAAGAGTGAGGAGATGGTGAGGGAAAGCATCATCTAAGAGACATTGCTCTTTTCGTTTCACTGGGTAGCGACTGGGAGGGCTTCTGTCACACATTCACCCCGGGGGCATGTGGCAACTCACAAAAGGAACCAAGAAAGCTAGTGTTTTATGGTCAGATTTGGACTATAAAGGAATCGACCAATTGGGTCAGTTCTGGGCATAGACGGCATAAAGACTGTTTGGATTAGAAATAGGTGCCCTCTTGAAGGGTGGAGCACTGACAAAGTAGAAAGTATCTCATGTAGTCTGTTGGGACATCTTGGAGGTGCCCAAGGTGTTGGGTCTGTGCAATCCCTGGCATTGGTTGGTGGCCTCCAGCTAGCTGCCCTACTGCCTGATGGTCTAGGGTCAGAGGCAGGCAGTAGCAGATTCTCCAGA